CGCGCGCACGGCGCGGCGCACGAGCCCGAGGGGCGCGGCGGCGGCATCGCGCTGCCGCCCGTCGGGCGGCGAGGGCAGTCTGCACCCGCGTGCTTCAGGAGGGGAGGAAGCACACAGGCACGAGGAAGCGTCGGCTCCCAGGAAAAGATGGGAAAAGATGGGCCATGGGGGGAAGGCGAACACCCAGAAAGTATCCGAAAATAACAGGGGATCCTGGGATTTGTGTGCATTTGTTTGTGTGCCCCAGGGCTCCTTTCCGTGCTCGCGGCGCGCTCGAGCTTCGAGCTGTGGGGGGAGGCTCGACGCCAAGGGCCGGCAGCATCGAACGCGGTCCGCGCGGCCTGCCGGCGAGGAGCGCTCGGGCACTTCTTGGAGGCCGCGGCGCGCGGCGTCTTCCAGGACGGCCCGACCGAGGCACCCGAGCGTCGGGTGGACTGGCGCGAGGCGGAGGGAGGGAGCGCGCGCCTCCCCCCCCCCAGGGTTCGCGGCACAGCTCGACGCGAACGGCCGGCGGCACCGCGCTGTCGACGCGGCCCGCCGGCGCGGAGCGCTCGGACATTGGGAGGCCGCAGCGCGCGGCGTCTTCCAGGACGGCCCGACCGAGGCACCCGAGCGTCGGGTGGACTAGAGCGTTCTGTCGGGCGTGTCCCCCTACAGGGGGGGGCTTTTCGACGAAACATCAAACAGACCCCGAAAAATACCCCAGAAAGGTCAAAAAATACTTTCAAAAAAATGCCCCCAGACTGTTGTTGGATTATGTTTGGATTATGTTGTTTTTTTGTTTTTTTCGTCGAAAAATCCCCCTGTAGGGGGACAGGCCCGACATGACTATGGCGGGGCGGAGGTGGAGCGCGCGCCTCCCCCCCCCCCCCCCCCCCCAAGGTTCGCGGCACAGCTCGGCGCAGTGGGCCACGTCGACGAGCACGTCCTCGGGCGGCCCCTCGCCCCGGAGCTCTCTCGGCGCTCCTGCCGGGCCATGCTCTCGGGCAATGCTTCAAAAAAGCGCCTGCGAGTCTGATGTTCCAGAGGGTTGGCAGCAGCATCAGGATCGCATCCCTCGACCTCGTCCTGCGTGTCGTTGAAAGTAGGTATTCTTGGAGTCCCAGGTTCCAATCTACTTTAAGCGCCTTCCTACTTCAACGATCGAGTGGCTTCACCTTCTCCGTCCTCCTTCAGGGGCGGACGGAACCCAATCTATTTTCAACGCCTTCCTACTTCATGCTTCTACCTAATTCTTCCGACCGACTCTTGCTTTTCTTAGGCCGGTCATGTGAGCCGTGCCCAGGTTTTGTCTGGGAGTCCTGAAGGTGATCGAAGAGAAGGGCGCGTTCGCCGTCGACGGCGAGCGGGTGCTGTCGGGGGCCCCTGCCGCGTCAAAACGCAGGATCCCACTTGCGCGTGGATCGAGGGTCACCTGTTTCACCGTGAACGCGGTGTCCTGCGCGCTGCACCACGACGTCTGCACCCTCGCTGCGAGCGCAGGATTGGCATCTATGCACCTCCCTCGCAGGGGGGGTCCCCGCGCTGCACGGAGGCGACCAGCAGGGGGCCTTCTTCGTCCAGACGGCCCCCGTGGCGCGGTGCTGGTTCGCGACGCTCGCGCAGCCCGCGCCTGCATCCGACCTCGGATTGCATGGTTCCGAACGGCGCTGGTTCTCTTCGGCGGCGATACCGATGGACTGGGCCCTTGCAGCTTCGGTCTTCCAACATCTACGCTGACGCCTTTTTTTTATAATAATGGTAACAATGATAATAATGATACTGATAAATGAATAAGCATGATGATAATAATAATAGTGATTAAAATTATAATTATAATAATAATAATAATAATAATAATAATAATAATAATAATAATAATAATACTAATAATAGTAGTAATAATAATAGTAATAATAATAACAATATCACAAGTAATATTAATGATGGTACTAGTAAAAGTGGGAGCAACAATAATAATAGTAATAAGCATCATCATAAGAATAATAATATACGCTGGCGCCTGTCTTTGCGAGCTCCTCCTCGGGGCGGCGGGCCGCCGCCGGACGCCGGGCGGCGGCGAGCCACACCGCTGCCAGTCGCCGCGCCCGACTCGGAGGAGCACACCCGGTGGCAGGTGCCTCTGCCGCAGCACGGGAGATGACAGCGATAGGGTTCTGCTGCCATTTAGCTCCCAAGCGGCTTAGACCGGAGCTCAAGGGGGGCATGCAATCTTGCCTGCTCACTCGCACACACGCGCGGGTCGCTTGGGAGTGCAGAGAACACGGGGAGCATCAGAAAGGACACCCGGTTGCAGGCGTACGCAGAGGACTTTGACGTTCCGGAGATCACGTCGCTCGCGGGCGTCGCCGCGGGCAGCCAGACCGATTCTGGATGCTGCGGCGCGCCGCCCACGCCTGCGCCGGCGCGCCGCTGGCGGCCGCGCAGGCCCGTGAAGGCGACCTCGTCGCGGAGCGCACGGGCGCAGAGGTTGACGTTTCCGCGGGGCGCGCGTCCGCCCTACCCGCCGAATCGGCGGGCGCCCAGCGGCTGGCCGTTCGCGCGTTTGGCCGCGCGCGCACCCCATGGCCGACGATGCTCGCGTTGCTCGGCCGGCTGTCGCGATGCATCGAGTTCTGACGGCCGCCCATGGGGCGCCTCAACGGGGCGCGGCGCTTTGCAAGCTGGCGCCGCGGCGGCAGCATGACCAGGGAGATGTCCGTGGAGCGGCAGTTGTCCGCCGCACTTGCCCCAATGGCTCTCACAGATCTCTGGTCGACGACTTCGGGGCTCGCCACGGTCTCGGACGCTTCCGAGCAGGGCGGGGGCATCAGCCCCCGCCGGGCTGCCGCCCTGGTCACCGCCAAACTGGCGGAAGCGAGCCATGGGCGTCAGCAGTTGCGCATGGCCGGACGACTGCTGCACGGGCACGGGCGGGGTGATCAGGCCATTTTCGAATGCGCCCCGCATGGCACGGGCCAGACGTCACACCCTGCCGAAATCCACACAATGTGCTCGGCGATGCGGCTCTCTGCCACTGGTGCCAGAGACGGGGTCGGCCAGACCATCGCTGCAGCTTCGCGACTGCTGGTGGTTGTTGTCGCCTCACGCGTCGGTGGAAGGCGACCTGCTTCGCGGCGCACCGCATGGCTGCGGCGGCCCAGCTTCGTCGATTGGGCCAGCCTCGACGCCGTCTCGGACAACATGGCGCGATAGCTCAGCAGTTGCCCGCATCATCGACGTCGTCATCCTAGCCACCAGGCGGGGCCGCCCAGCCCAAGGGAGCCGCGTCGACAAGAGCGGGCGCCGAACAGCAGAATCGAACAGCGACTCGCGCGCGCGGCCTGTTCCGGCAGCATCTCCGGGGCCTCGTGGAGGTCGCCGTGAGGCACCCAGCCGTGGACGCCGAGGAACTCGACGCGCTGCTGGGCCAGCGACTGCGGGCGGCATCCGAGGCTCAGGCGGGATGCCCGGGCGGCCGCGCTCTCGGTGCGCTGGCCCGCTCGGGCGGCACTGCACGCGGGAGAGGCCCCCTTCTGCTCACCCCGCCTCTCGTCACCGTCAAAGAGATCGGCCCAGGCCAGCGATCGAACTGTGGAGGTGCCCGAGGAGAAGTTCGGATACGGCCGCGGCTAAACTGCCGCGGCAGTCAAGGACTCGAGGGCCCCGGGGGCGGCTGCCGCGCGCGCGGTGGCATTGCGTAGCGGCCGTGTGGCCGCGGCGGCTTTCGCGCTCCACGAGATTTTTGTTTCGCGGCAACTGATTCGCGCGTCATCGACCGCGGCGGCGCTGCCAGCCACCAGCGAGCGCAGGCCGCCCTGGAACGACGCGCCGGCCTACGTCACTGGCCCAGGCGCCCGCGAATTTCCAGAGGCCGGGACACCCTTCTATCATTCGGGCGCATCTGAGAAAGTCGGACATCCGGCCAGACGCCGGGGTGCCATACCGGCCACAGGCGTGGCCGAGATCATCCATCGACCCGCATTTTTGGAAATGGCGCGACGCGTTGGGGGTCAGGTGGGCCAAGTCACCCAGAGATTGCGCGTGTGCTACTGTTGTTTAACTGCTTCGCTCCGCCAGCCCATCTTGCCTCGCCGCTGTCGTTTGTCGGGGTGTTCCTCTTGGGGCTCTCTTGGGAGGGGAGGGTTTCTCCAAAGGGCTTAGGCGACCCATCATCCTCCTCCTCCTCCTCCTCCTCCTCCTCCCCCTCCTCCTCCTCCGCCGCCGCCTACCTCCTCCGCCTCCGCCTACTCGCCGTCCCCCGCCTTGACTCCGACTCCGCCTCCGCACCGCCGCCTGCCTCCTCCTCCTCCTCCCGCCACCCTCCTCTTCTTCCTCCTCCTCTCCTCCTCCTTTTTCCCCTTTCCTCTCCTCGTCCTCCTCCTCCTCCTCCTCCTCCTTCCCCTCGTCACTCCTCCTCCATTCCTCCTCCTCCTCTCTCCCTCCACCTCTTCACCTCTCCTCCTCCTCCTCTCCTCCTCCTCCTCTCCTCCTCCTCCTCCTCCTACTCCTCCTCCTCCTCCTCCTCCTCCTCCTCTCCCTCCCTCTCCTCCTCCCCCTCCCCCTCCCCTCTCCTCCTCCTCCCTCTCTCCTCATCCCTCCTCCTCCCCTTTTCCTCCTCCTCCTCCTCTCCCCTCTCCTCCTCCTCCTCCTCCTCCTCCCCCTCCTCTCCTCCTCTCTTCTCTCCTCCTCCTCCTTCCTTCCGCCTCCTCCTCCATCTCCTCCTCATCTCATACTCTCATCCTCTCATCCTCTCCTCCTCCTCCTCCTCCTCCGTAGCCATTTTGGCTCAAGTCCGTCCCCTCCGTGGGATCTCGGACTTGGGCCGAAATGAGTTCCACAGCTGTCTCGCCCAAGGCCTCCTGGCCAAGCGCAGCGCCGCCCGCCGCCGTCGGCCGCGGCTCCATATGTCCATGTTCGCGCACGCTTGGGTGATCCCGATCGGCCTGGCGCTGCTGCAGCTGCTCGCGCTGTTCCCGCTGCACAGTGGCCTAGCGGTGATGCCCCACTGCCGATCGCAGGCCGCGGCTCATGCTCGCCAATGCCGTGCGTTGCAGCTGGGATTCAGTCGTCGCCCCCTCCGTGTACCTCTTCGGCTTCACGATCTACTTCCACCTGCTTGTGCACGTCACTTGCCGACCAAGCTCATCCCGCTCTACCCGCTGGGCGTCTGCGGCAGCCATGAGCTCCAAGAGGTCGCGGACTTCATCCAGCGGCATCGTGTGCAAGATGGGCCCCATCATGGTGCTGGACCTCTGCGCGCTGCGCTGCCCGTCCGAGCTGACCTACGTCACGGAGCTGGCCCTCTGCCACCACCCGCACGTCACGAACACCGCGCTGCTGACCCCGACGCCGATGGTGTCGCTGACGCTCTTCTGCATGACTTTCGCCACGTCCCTGGAGCCGCCCGTGGCCGTGTTCCCCGTGGCGATGCCGCGCCTGAAGCTCTTTGCAACGGTGCTGGACCGCTTCCCCAACACGTTCCTATACATGGAGCTGGGCCTCTTCCTCGGCGTCGCGCTGGCGCTCCTGAACCTGCTCTGCATCCCACTGCCGCCGGTGGTGCTCATCCTCGTGACGCTGGTGATGTCCCCGATGCTCGTCGGCCCGCCGTGCATGCCGCTGCCGCTGGTGGCGCTCAACCTCGTGATGTTCCTGTTTCGCGAGCCGCCGCTGCTGGTGGCGCCCGACCTCGTGCTGCTGGCGATGCCCGCGCTGCTCTCCGTCCACTTGTCCGCGAATGGCATCGAGCTGCACGGCGCAAGACGCTACTCCAGAATAGGCCGCTCATACGCTGCTTCGACGCGTGGCTCGACCTTGTGGAGTGCGACCTGACAGTAGAGGACACTGCTGCCCGTGATGATGCCGCCGCTGGTGGCGACCCAGTCCCCGAAGACACCGCCGAGTGCGGCGAACAACATGTTCTCGCAGCCGCCTTGCGTGGCGACCTTCCCGTACAAGATCTTCCTGACCATGATCGAGAACACCTGCACGACAATCCTCACGGACACTTGCATGAAGTACACCTGCCTGGAGCACACCTGCATGACAATCCTCAAGTACACTCGCATGAAGTACACCTGCATGCCGTTCACCTGCACAGAGAACACCTGCATGAAGACGCTCGCCGCGATCCTTCCGAAGACGATCGACATGACTGGGCGGTCCCTGGCGTCGAGTACCTTCGTCGATCCGACCTTCTTCAACTCCGCTGCTGCTGCACGGCTCATGCTGATCTGGCAGATCGTCTGGTGGATCCCGAAGAAGGCCTGCGTGGTGCTGCTCGTACCGTCCCGCCGCCTGGAGTGCCTGACGCTGTACCCCACACACAAGCTCCTCCTGCCACTGCCGCTGGTGGCGAACGACCCCGCCAGGCCGCCCTCTCCACGCCCCCTGTCGATGTGATTGCGACGACGCTGAGTAAGCTGGAGGAAGCCGCCCGTGCCTGTCCCGAAGAAGCCCTACATGATCCTGTTCATGCCGTCCCGCCGCCTGGAGTGGCCGACGCTGTTCCCCACGAACATGCTCTTCCTGCCGCTGCCGCTGGTGGCGAAAGACCCTGCCAGATCGTCCTCTCCATGCCCCCCGTCGACGTGACCGCGACGACGATGAGTAGGCCTGAGGAGCTCGCCTGTGAATGTAGCCCCGCTGTCGCGGCCAGCCGAGTGCCCCCCGACAGGTCCTCTACTTCCCGCTCTTTGCCCCCCGTCCCTGCTTTCCCCACTTTCCCGAGCATCCCACACGTCCTACAATCCGCTCCCCGTGCATGGCCCCATGCTCACTGCAGCATTGGCGATGCCAGAGCGGCCGAGCGTCCATCCCCAAGTACAGGCCAACCACCGTCCTAGCCGATCTGCGCTGAGCTAGACGGACGAGTTCGCCTCATGGTACTTTCACTCCTCCTCCTCCTCCTCCTCCTCCTCCTCCTCCTCCTCCTCCTCCTCCTCCTCCTCCTCCTCTTCCTCCTCCTCCTCCTCCT